CCGATCAGTGGCGAGAAGGATAAAAGTAAAAAATAAAGGTTAAAAGTGTTACCGAGGGTGTTTAGGAGGCTGGAAACTTGCAGTACATAAAATTTCATACACAACTCCTCCCAGACTTACGACAGGAGTTAGGGACCCAAATCCAGGTCCTAAGTCAAAATGGTAAATTAAGTCGAATATGCTTAAATATTACATAGAAAATCTAAAATGGGTGTCTATTTTTCTTCTCAGCACCAAAAAACTCACTTTTAAGCTTGCCAGCCATTTTAAAGTGAATTACAAACAAAAATTGTGTCTGTACCCGGCGTTGGGACTTGAAAATACACAATTTAACCAAATATTAATTTAACCGAGGCAATTAAGTAAGTGCGGGTGGTCATAAGTCGAGTAGGTCGTAAGTCGGAGAGGAGCTGTACTAATGAAGCAGATTAAAATTTAATATTTTCTGGGTCTTAAAGATATAGCGCAATACTGTAGAATGATTAACTTATGCCTACAAGCTATGTACATTATTGTTGGAACATAGACAAAAATCCAAAAGAGAGTTTGTACAGGTTTAATAGTAATCTGAAGTAAATGTGAAGAATAGGATGGATTATAGTAAAGTTAGGGTTAGCATAAAGTCATGTTAAGCTAAGTTGGATTAGGATAGGTCACCTTAAAGTATGTTAGGGGTTAAGTTTGAACTGCTTAGATGAGGGTTAATTCAAATTAAGCTTTATAAGATCAAGTTAAATTAGTTAAAACTTAGATTAGGATAAGTCACATAAAATGCAGATTAAATCCAAGCTGGAATGTAGTTAAATTAAAAATAAATTAGACTATGTTTGGTCACAGTTAGATTAAGTTAGTGCAGTGGTGTGTTCTGTTAGCACATTCAATCAATCAAACTACCATCCTCATATGTGGTATTCAGTTTTTAATTTCATTCAACTTTATAATGCTACAGAATGTGCTAAAAGTATAGAGGCTGCACTACTGAGTATTGCCCTGACTGTACAACCAAAGTCATCAAATTTATTGAGGATCATAAGGGGGAAATAGAAACTTATAGTAAAAATAAAGCTGGATTCTCAGTGGTTACCAAACTAGAGCACTAAGATTAAAGAAGTTGCCGATAGGATAGAGGGAGTAGTAGAGAAAAGCTGCAGCTCAGGTTGCAGCAGGGCCTCAGAAGGTGACAAGAAATGTAGGATCTGAACAGGCCTTGCAGCAGCTAGGGACTCTACAGAAGTTTTTGAAAGATTACAACCTTGTTAGGCCTTCTGATATGGGAGAGGGCAACACTGTGATCGGCCCAGGCATAGAACAATACAACTGTGTTTGAGTTCCTAAAGGTCAGTCGGAGAAGCTGAAAGTAGGAAAATACATGACAAGATGAAAGGTTCTGAATATATCTGTACAGAGGCTCTGAACCGTAATATGCTGTACTACCCCCAATGAAGTGACGATGCTAGGAAAGAAGCAGAGAATAAGTCCCATCCCTCAATACAGTATAACATTAGAATGGGGAAAAGTAGGAATTTATCAGACAGGCAGGGAGCAGCAGCATTTTGAACATAGTCATAAGTGCAGATCACACACAGTAGTGCAGAGAACAGCACAAATAACTCTTGAAACAAAGGGGAGGATTCGGTGAAAAAACTGGGACGGACTTGGGGGGGATGTAGTAGAGCAGGTGTATCCAGTACAGAACCATAGGACAACAAGATACCCCCCACCCCTCAGCTTCCTATCCAGGAGGGAGGTGTGTACCATGTAAACAATGTCATCTCTGGCCACACCCCAAAATATGGTGAGTGTAGTCAACAAGGCAGTTGTTGAGAATGAAAAGAGGCCAGAGCCACTACCAAGCTCGGAGTGGATTACCGAGACTATTTCGGTGTTGTGTGTGTTTGATAGTCATCTTGACTTGAGCATACAACCATCCAGCCTTACCTTCCTGTTATCTCTGCTGCGGGAGTCTTTTGATTCCTGAGTGTCTCTTGCTGACAGAGAAGCAGAGGGTAAGCGGTGCTAATCATGAAGACTGCCAGAGTGCCACCACCGACACTAAGGTGATGCAGTTCTGCTCCATCTTCTTCAAATCGGCAGAGTTTGTGTTCCCTGCAGCCTTTCCTTTGGACACTGCCTGGTGTGAGAGAGAATTGAAAGTGTTTTAATTTAAAATTAATACAATTATGCACCTGTACGACACACATCTGAGGTCGTCAAATTCAAAGAGATGATTCTTGTTGCCTGGGTTCAGGATGCCATGAAAGCGTCCCCCCATACATCCCTCCCCACACTGGTATGAGTCACCACCAGTTGTTTCTGGTGACAATGTCTAAAACCTTCAACTGCTGCTCTTCTGTTTATAACACTGGAAGCAATGCTTGAGTCTAAGCATTTTTGCTGCATTTCACAACCAGATACATATAAATACTCTTATAATATATCCTATTACATCTCATCATATGTCCTAATAGCACAGTACAGTACTTCTTAATATACTCTAGTACATCCCTAATACTGTACTGTACAATTGAAATACTCACCAATTACAGTGTAATGACCAGCGGCCGTACCACGCCAGATTATAAATAAATCAAACAATTCATATGCGGCTCCATAATACAAAACATGTAGCTATGCCTTCTTTATTAGTCTCCCCTCTGGGCATCCGTTTCCAAAGGCGCCCGAGTCCCTGTTTTCCCATTTTTAATGCTAAGCTACTCCATCATTATCTCCCGGGCACAGTGTGTGGTAGCTGAATACCCAGCAGCTGGCTGTATTGGACGATGTGGTTAATTAGAAGGATTAAACTGTGGAGTCCGCACCTGGGCCGAACCCCTCACCGTGTGTGTTGGACTACAACCAACCTTAACAGCGTTCTTCGTTTGTTGTTACACCCTGGGGCACTCTTTACATATATGGGCACAGTATTATTGTATCTATGATTGAGGGATTAACTACTTAGAAATATAGTTATCCCAGGTTAAGTATTGAACTCATGAATATTTGGTGTCCCAGCGGTACTGTTTGCTTGTAATGATTGGTTATCAGACCACAGATTACATCGGAGAATTTTAACACATATAACATTTAGTATAGGCCACGTGGCTTAACAAACATACCAAATCGACACATCCTACAGTCCCAAGACCTGACCCGGCCACTAAGTACTTGAGTAACCCTGCTATATAACTTGATATAACTGTGTTAGGTAACCACACCATAGCCCAAAACACCCGGGGAGTAATAATTAGGAAGTACTACTGACCTGCGACATGACCACACCGGACAAACAGCTGTCAGACCCCCAACTTAAGGGAGATCAAGGACCGCTAATCAGCCAGCACCCCTGTTACCCAACCCAACAACCCGGTCAAGACACACCCACTTCAGTAGGAGGTCATCCCACAGCTCTTCCTCAATATATATAGGACCTGTAGCCCTCTCGGAGAGAAAGAGGAATCTTGTAACCAAGGAGGGCCAACAACGGCGTCCCCCAGTCCCGCTCATCAAAGTCTGTCACTAAGAGTACTTGAGTCTCAGCGGGTCCATCGACAGAGTGCTGTCAACTCAACGTGTAAAAGTAATTGCTGGCTGTGTGGCGGTATAAGTGGGGTGATGAACCTCCCAACGATCGACTTGTGAAGTTATGCGAAAATATCATAGTCTATCATACCCTATTATGCGAATCCCCATTAATTCCCTCTAAGCAACTAGTAAATAAAAGCTGTAACACGCATTTTGTGTTTTATATACTACACTTGTACTGAGCCTGTGTTAATACATAGTCACCCCCACACCCTCAAGTCACGCTACCTACTTCCTCACTATACGATTCTACTACTATAAACTCCTACCTTACATAAGAACATAAGAACATAAGAAAGTGGGATACTGCAGGAGGCCGACTGGCCCTTGGGGCAGAATATTTCCACTTCATCCCAACACTTCCATGTGTGCCTATCAGCTTCGTCTTGAAGCTCCTAAGCGTCCCCGATCCTACTATAGCTTTTCGGTAGCCTGTTCCACATATCCACAACTCTATTACCAAGCCAGTGCTTGCCTATATCCTTTCTGAATCAGATTTATCTAATTTAAAGCCATTTGTTCTAGTTATTTCGTTATTACTGAGCTTCCAGAACATCTTCCATTTTACCCTTGTTAATCCCACTTACCCACTTGTACACCTCTATCTTATCTCCTAACTCTCACGCCTCTCTAATGAATGTAAGCCTAAGCTTTTCAGTCTTTCTTCATATAGAGTTTCTAATATTATGAATCATTTTTTGTCATTCTTCTTTGTACTCTCCAAGAATCTATAATATCCATTCTAATGAGGACACCAGAGCCCCCAAGACCACATAAATCATGTGGCCTCACTAATGCTTTTAGGCAAAGTTTTAAAGATAAACGTCAGCAGTTCTGTTGCTACAGACCTAGATGAACCCAAGAATCCTGTTTGCCTTGTTGCGAGCAGCCTAATACGTGTTTTTCTAGGTTTCAAGTCGTTGCTAACAAATACACCTACATCTTTTTACAAACTGAGTTTTCTATTTCCGTGTTACCTAGTTTATACGCCCACGTTTGTGTCGTCTTCCCTATCTGTAGTACCTTGCATTTTATCAGTATTAAAATTCATTTGCCCAATTCTCACCCTCATAAGGTATCTAGATCTCTTTGAAGGTGTTCAAAGTCACTGTCTGAATTTATCACTCTCCCCATTTTGGTATCATCTGCAAATTTACTAATCCTACTAGTTATGCCTAAATCAAGATCATTAATGAATATAACAAACAGCAGGTGTACTACCACTGAATGCTAGTTAAAGTGCCATGTTGTTCATTCCGAACTAACAGGAGGTGTTTGATACCACCTTAATTTTGGATTTTGTCGAGTGTGTTATGTAATCATCTGTATTGACAATGAAGCAATATCATGAGTGTATAATGTTGTAATCAAGACTGATCTATTTTACTATTAATTTAAAGTAAAACCAAAGCGGTCCAGTCTGATCTGAGTGTAATTAATTAACATCTTATTCACTCCATATGTTAATAAATATTAAATTAGTAAACTACAAGTATCACCATTCTATTCCTTCTACACAATGGTTCTCAGAAAATAACTAGTAACTCACGTGCCTAGAAGTTCGCTAGCAGGCTACCTAACAGTTCCATGAGATATGTTATATTCTAATAAAAGTCTGGGTGGTGGCAGGCTACCGTTGTAAGTATAATAAGTGTTATAAAACGAATAACATGGTTTCCCACACTAATCCATGGTTTAGAATATAACTAGATCAAAACAGTATACAGAGGAAAACAGGACTCTTACAAATTGGTGACTTAGAAAATATAAGCAAGAATATAAGTATTGAAGAATAATAACAGAAGAGAATAAATATAAGAAATATTTGAAATAAAAATATAAGTATATAACTATATTGAAGAATAAAAAGAATAAGGATAAGAAGAGAGTAGTAAAGGGAAACAACCCCCCCCCTTACAACAGTACTTTCTAATACTGTACTGTATACCCTAATAAACCCTAGTACAGGTTCTGTACATCATAATACAGTATACCCAAGTCAATTTTGTTTTACAAAGAACGTTCATTTGCCCCAAAAATGAAGATCAGATTTGAGTAAATCACATAAAAAAAAAAAAATATATATATATATATATATATATATATATATATATATATATATATATATATATATATATATATATATATATATATATATAGTTATTAATATATATATATATATATATATATATATATATATATATATATATATATATATATATATATATATATATATATATATATATATATATATATTCTCATAAGAAAAAGAGCCACAGCCATTAAACGAATATTTACCCTTTTCTCTAATCTTCAGACCACCAAACTATTTTGTAATCCTCTGTACAATATCCCACACTTCTTCTTATCCTCCTTACAGTGTCCAAATGAAATTGCCAGTGGAGGATCAATCATCATCTGGAATAAATCCGAAAATATGTTGACATATAAGCCAAATTATCAGTAGCAACACCAATATACCTGTAGTGCACTCTAGTGGCTAGGTTTCTGCTGAGGGGAAGTTCAACTAATTATCCAGTGGGGAATTCCCGGCAGGTAGTGGCATGAATTTATGAAGAAAGTTAGATTTAAAAACATTTATACAGTGGCTACTGAAAAAAACATTGGAAGCAAGAATGAACTCGTTTGGTTTATGTATTTCAAGTGACCTAAAAACTTCATATAAAGGTTCTAGAGAATCATGAATCTTGTTATATACTATAGTGCATCTCCTCCCCGACTTACAACCTACTCGACTTACGCCCACCCGCACTTATGATCTGCCTCAGTTGTACCAAAATTTGGTCAACTTACGTGTTTTTGAGTCCCAAAGTCAGTACACAGACAAAATTCACTTTAAAATGGCTGGCAAGCTTAAAAGTGAGTGTTTTGTGGTGCTGAGAAGAAAAAGAGACACCCATTTTAGATTTTGTGTATAATTTAAGCATTTCCGACTTACGACCTGGATTTGGGTCCCTAATCCCGTCGTAAGTCGCGGAGGAGCTGTAGTTTCACAATATTCTTCCTACAATATGATAACCTAAAACAAACCTACATGTACTGTAGATAGTGTAGTGAATGTAATGTAGAGAGTGTAGTGGATGTACTGTAGATAGTGTAGTGGATGTACTGTAGATAGTGTAGTGGATGTACTGTAGATAGTGTAGTGGATGTACTGTAGATAGTGTAGTGGATGTACTGTAGATAGTTTAGTGGATGTACTGTAGATAGTGTAGTGGATGTACTGTAGATAGTGTAGTGGATGTACTGTAGATAGTGTAGTGGATGTACTGTAGATAGTGCAGTGGATGTACTGTAGATAGTGCAGTGGATGTACTGTAGATAGTGTAGTGGATAGTGTAGTAGATGTACTGTAGATAGTGTGGTGGATGTACTGTAGTGTAGTGGATGTACTGTAGATAGTGTAGTGGATGTACTGTAGATAGTGCAGTGGATGTACTGTAGATAGTGTAGTGGATGTACTGTAGATAGTGTAGTGGATGTACTGTAGATAGTGCAGTGGATGGATAGTGAAAAGGATACTGTAGAGTGTAGTGGATGTACTGTAGATAGTGTAGTGAATGTAATGTAGTAGAGCGTAGTGGATGTACTGTAGATAGTGTAGTGGATGTACTGTAGAAAGTGTAGTGGATGTACTGTAGATAGTGTAGTGGATGAACTGTAGATAGTGTAGTGGATGTACTGTAGTGTGTGTAGTGGATGTACTGTAGATAGTGTAGTAGATGTACTGTAGATAGTGTAGTGGATGTACTGTAGAGAGTGTAGTGGATGTACTGTAGATAGTGTAGTGGATGTAATGTAGATAGTGTAGTGGATGTAATGTAGATAGTGTAGTGGATGTAATGTAGATAGTGTAGTGGATGTACTGTAGATAGTGTAGTGGATGTACTGTAGATAGTGTAGTGGATGTACTGTAGATAGTGTAGTGGATGTACTGTAGATAGTGTAGTGGATGTACTGTAGATAGTGCAGTGGATGTACTGTAGATAGTGTAGTGGATGTACTGTAGATAGTGTAGTGGATGTACTGTAGATAGTGCAGTGGATGTACTGTAGATAGTGTAGTGGATGTACTGTAGAGTGTGGTGGATGTACTGTGGATAGTGTAGTAGATGTACTGTAGATAGTGTGGTGGATGTACTGTAGTGTAGTGGATGTACTGTGGATAGTGTAGTAGATGTACTGTAGAGAGTGTAGTGGATGTACTGTAAATAGTGTAGTGGATGTACTGTAGATAGTGTAGTGGATGTACTGTAGATAGTGTAGTGGATGTACTATAGATAGTGTAGTGGATGTAGTGATGGTGATGTATGGATAGTGTAGTGTAAATAATGTAGTGGACGTTGTTAGTTGATGTAGTGATGATGATGTAGTATCAATAGTGTACTTGGTGTAGTGCGTGGTGGAAGGCAGACAAGAGTATGGAGGAGGTGGGTTGTGTGTGTGGTGGAGGTGGGTTGTGTGTGTGGTGGAGGTGGGTTGTGTTGGAATAAGTAGATCTTTATGGACACATCTTAGGCTCTATCATACGTTCACTAAAGATTTTTTTTTGAACGGTTCATCATATATCGTTATTTCTATTAACATTTCTTTGGATCATAATAGAAAGCGAGTGGTGTATAATAGTGGGTTAAGGTATCAGAATATAGTTACCCAATGGTGTAAAATAATTGACAAGGTTGTTATGTGATTGGGTAGTTACGGGTTCAACTGGCATTTGACGCGGCGCGCTGCTACTGGTAAAACCAAAATTCTTTTTTTTTGTTTTATATTTTACATCGCTGTTTCTTAACTTTCACTCTGGATTTAAATTGCAAGGGTTAAGATGAATATATTGGTGAAAATCTACATGAAATAGAACAGAAAAACAATAATAGGGAGTTCACACGTATTATTGTTGAATGCACCTTCACCAACACAACTCCTCCCACCCAAATTGCCACATTTTACTGTTATCTTTGAAATATTAGTGTACCACCAACATACTGAATCAATAAACACATGACAAAAAAAATGTCAAGTAGCAACAAGTTTTGTTGAGAAAATGGCAGCGTCCTCACCTGCAGGAGACTTGTGTACAGCCTGTCGGTGTTTGGGTCCTGTTTGTTGACACATCACCACCGTTTATATACCAATAATGTCAGTTATTTCTAAAGTCTCTATTATCATTCACTTCAATAATCCATCAAAACACAGTAGATAAGCCAGAGGCTTCAATACAAACGACGAAATAGTCCAGCAATGAAGGAGTTACTCCACCTGTTCCAACGACTGACGCTTTCTGACCACTGGCCACCACACGGCGAGTATTGTTGAAAAAAATACCACGAACGTGACTTGACGCCCTCTTTATTCTCCTATCTTTGAGAGTATATGTTACTAACTCAACGTAACTTAACCTAACAATCCTAGGGTAACTTTCTGTATATAAATAAGGATACACTGTTGATTCAGTCTCTTAGGAAAATGTACAAGAGCTTCTGTTCGTAGTACATCTTTAACATTTAACGTAGCATCTTTGATACAAGACGCTATTTTGTCTTTAGTTTTCGAATTTATGGATTCTCTCGGATTATATTACGCAAAAATACTACTTATATAATATATTGATAAGTAAAGGCATCAAAACTAACCTTTATACAAGTCTTATGTCAAAGATTTCGTAGAATTTACTGGAAAAGGGACCATACTGGCTCCAAGTTGCTGGTGAATGTTGACAACAAACCCTCACAGAAAACGGAATATGTTGGGGAAAACTATACTGTAGATGTTACAGCAGAAGTAAAGATAATATTTATTTATTTATTTATTTATTTATTTATTTATGTATTTGTTTATTTATTTATTTATTTGTGCTTTTATTTTTATCGTTGTTGAATTAGGGTAAGAATACTCTTTCTATTCAAACTTCCGTCTCTACCTCCCTCACACTCTCTCTCCCTCCTGTTCAACCTTCCCTCTCTATCCCCCTCTCTCCCACTGCTCTTCACTCTCTCTTCAAACTTCCCTCCCTCTTTCCTTCCCTCTTCAACTACCTTCTCTACCTCTCTCCCTCCCTTATCCTCACTTCAAACTTTCTTCTCTACCTTCCTCCTTCCCTCTCTCTTCAAATGTCCTTCTCTACCTCTTTCTCTGCCAGTGTGTGTGCGTGTTACTTTTACTTACCACTGATCGGCTCGTTAGCCGCTTGGGCAATCGGTCACGTCTCTGTTACTTTTCCTTTTCTTTCATCCTCTTTACCAAATGATCGGCTCGTTAGCCCCTATGCTTGAACTAGGAGCAAGTCCTCTGCTCATTGTTTGTTTACGAGCTGCTTGGTTTGAACGGCTTCTCCCATGTACAATGTATCATAGTGAGTTCTTTCTGTTTAATATGCCAGGGGGTCTGGGGGGGCTAGGAAGTTACATAGGTTTCTTACAATGTTTTGGTGGCTTGTTTTTCTTGTCAAATAAAGTTAAGTTAGGTTTACTTAAAAGTAATCCCATTTTAATACATTTGCCCAAACTTTGACAGTGCCCACTGCAAAACAGTGAAGTTGTGGCATTTTTAAGTAAATTTTCTACGAAAAATCAGCAATGGGTATGTCATCAGCAATTACCCTCTTCCAGTATGGGGATATAAATTTGTTCAATAAGTCTTACAGTGTTCAGTGGATCAAAGGTACAGAAGCCTCAAATAATGGAAGAACTAGGACAGACAAGTGTAAAAAGAAAAAATAGTGTACGAGACGTTTTTCCTGAGTGCCAAAGCCATATATAACACGCACGCACGCACGCACCAGGTTTGCTGGTATCATCAAGCAGACTCCAGCCATCCCCTACCTCTCACCCTTTATAAACAGAACATTTATGGTTCCACATACTGTACTTTTAGATTGCAATAAACTGGAATACAAAAAAACAATATGAAGAGACGAAAAGCTGCTGCCTTTTTCCACGCAATGTTCTTGAATGCATATAATAATGATGCAAATCAAGGAAAATATAGTTGGTATGCTTTATTATGCTACGTACAAGTTACAAGTATGGTAAACATAATTAACAGTTGATATTAGTCATGGTCAGTCATTATACTGCCAACCCAGCACTATGCAAATAACGTAACGCCAACACGTCACAGCAGCTCCCAAGTAGCTGCTGAAATCGTCGTCATCGTATAAATTACGATGTGGATTTCAAACATACAATCACCTTACTTGAGTTTGGTTTTATTTGTGTTAATGAATATGTATTTCATGACTTGAGACTGTCTTTTTATTCCCCAAATTTGTCAACAGCAGAGCAGAAAAAACCCTCAACGGTCACTTGAAAATGCCATAAATAACATAAATAAGATGATCATAAACACAGGTGAGTACGTGTGTAGGTAGGCTGGTAGGGTGGTGTGCAGTAGGTGTTAGCAGTATCCCCGCCAAACCTACAACAGGATGTCGGTGGTCAGAAAGCGGACAAACAGACTCAGATAACCAAGAGCAACGGCAGAGCGGTGGGCTAGGCAGTGGCCCGCCATGGGACGCTCCTCACGACGAACTCTGCACACAAGACAACGAAGTTATTCCTCCTCCCCAATATTTTTATGTTAGTAAGCTGTATTTTATGGTCAAATGTGTGATGAGGGCCGCAGTTCAATATGGGAAGGTGACTAAATTTATTACTTTCTAGAATAACAAAATTAAGTTTGAGATATGTTTTTAACTTACGGTAGTACTGTTCGGTGCAACACTTACCTACTTGGTGTGTACTGTACCTAGTGTGGCTGCTGGTAGTGAAGGTGTGGTGTCATTAGCTTAGTATGGGTGTTGGCACTCATATGGTATAGGTAGGCTATGTGACACTTACCTGATGTGGGTAGTGGGTGGCTTTGAGTGATGGCCGGCGAACACTTGGGCGTCACCGAAGCAACCAGAATCACGCTGCCAGGAGAGCACCCGGGCGAGCCAATCCTTCCTGAAGAAGTCTCTGTAGCCCAGGATACCACAGAGCGCACCTATGGATAGAGACATAGTCGACCTGTATTACTATACATGTATATGATGTATGTACAATATGAAGGTGCTAGTTTTATGTTAAAGTGATCGTCTTTATTTATTCATTTTAAGAAATCCTGCTTTGAGTTCTTAGCATGACACTGGGATTTATTTTAATTATTTTATTTTATTTATTTTTTACGGGCATTAGCCCACCCGGCCACAGGTCATTTTTAATAACCCACATCAAGGCCTAGGGGGGCTAAAATATAATAATTATAATAATAATAATAATAATAATAATAATAATAATAATAATAATAATAATAATAATAATAAATAATAATAATAAAGAGCCATAAAAAATAAAAATAAATTAAAAATATCAAGAGTGAGAAATGATATACGTATGTTGTGTAGTCAAAGTAAGAGAAATAATTGAGACCCTGCAATTGTGTGTAAATGCGGCAGAAAGTCAGATCAGCAACCTGGGACTTGGTCACAATTTTTGTGATGCCATATGGCAGCAGGGTCTACCATTAGACATCACATTATGCTTCCAATATCTTTCCAGGCGGTAGTACCTCCCTCTTTGATAGCTGGTAACCTAGCATGAACTTAGAGCACTGTGACCTGAGCTGACCTTGTTCCATGAAAAGGTCACGACGGTTCGTGGGGAAGTCAGCCTCGGAAATGGTAACAGCCTCAAACAGCACGGCAGCACATAGCTGGCTCAGAAGGTGGGCTACACCACCTGCCCCGGCCAGACGCTCCAGCTGGTGCCCACAACCTGCCTACACCACACAGGAACATATACATGGCCTTAGTGACTGTCCAATGCTTTCATCTGGATAAGAAATCTCTGAAGGTTATTTTATTTATTTGCATGCAGCTAATTGTATAGTGAGAACATTATATGAGGGTGATAAGTATGAAAAGGGATATTAACTTTAATTTGAGAAAAGGGCTGCTGAGAGGCTATTTATGGCCAGGACTGTTGTATAGTGCTTTAAAAATTTATTATAGATAAAGAAAAGAAAGAGATGAGGGGTAAGAATAACAAGGCAGGTACGCAACACAAGGAGAACGAGACACGCTTAGGTGTTACCTGGATGCCGATGATGAGGTAGAAGACCTGGTGAGTGAGTGAGTAGCTGGAGTAGCCCGGGGCAGTCATGCGCTCCCAGCACTCTTGGCTCACGGCACACTGACCATCTCCATGTACATTTTGCTGACGCCCCTCGCGCGCACCGGCTGTTTCACGCCTACCCAAGGTCCTACCACGCTCCCCATTCAGTTCTTCAGCTACGCATTGGTCCGACTGGTTCTCCACCAACTGTTCTTCGCCTGCATCGGAGTCATTCACATGTAAATTGCACTTACAATGGGCGTAAACATGCACACGTCCTAGTTACCTGGCATTGTAACTAAACAATGGAAATCCTAGCGACTTATACTCCACTTAATAATACAGTACCGTACATGTATATTAAATATTTAAGAAACTGGAACTGGTGAGATTTTGTACATTTCATTATTCGTCTCATGAGATTTTGTCGAATGGAAAATTACAAAGATTTGAAAGTACATAAGCTCACCTGAAAGGACGGGGAGAGGGTTGTGTGGTAGAGTGAGGGCGCTGGTATTGAGATGACGGGTAGTAAGCGGCACCTCCCAGAACCCAGCATCCAGCAGCGCTCCCAGCTCTGTAACAGTGGTTATACTATGCTAGTAACACTAGGTAGACGGAAACAATTCCAGCACCTCTAATTTAACAAGATCAGTACTGCACCGCAACCTACTGAGAAACTGTATGGTGGAATTTTCTCTGATGGGGATTGATCCACACAAGGAGAAATATATGATAATTCACACTTGGGCACTGAGGAGGGAGTAACTCACGGCTGTAGTAGGTGGGGTCAGCCTTCATAATGAATACTTGGCCCTCACTGCTAAGTCGCGCTGCCTCTTTCATGATGGTGTGTATGTCCGCCCGCGCCTCCTCTACGCTCATTTTCCCTGTAGAATATTTGTCGCCTTCCAGTGCCTCCATCACTAGCCGAAACTGTGCTGTAAGAGATAAGATAAAGGTTTTTAATTAAGGGATGGTGTCAGGCGTGTGCTATCTGTTGTCTGGTGATATGTAGGGAGTACGCGTACTTTTAAACCGTGTCTGAAACAGTGATGTATCTAGCTTCCGTAATAAAAACCTTTCTATCGCTTTTCTGATGCTTATGGCGATGATCCAACAAATAATGGCGTGTGTGTGTCCTGTACCAAGACAAGGAATAGATCGGCCATGAAGTAAATTTCCACACTCAACACCACAAGGAGTCTCAAAGGTCCTTACGCTCACTCTTTTAACTGGAATCCCGCACTGAGACCACTATAATTAGCAGCGTTCCCCCTTTAACTGCTAGATTAAAAATATTACATGCCAGTCTTTGTTAATCTCTAACCACGACTCAAGCCACTCATTGTTACACATCTGAAAACGGCTTCTTTCTGAGAGGGATTATCACGAGTAATCATGAGGCTGCTGCTGGTGGATCTACGTGGACGATGTCATCATACACACAAACACACAGCTAATGACGACCCGAGGGTGGATTAAAGCTCTTCTTGCTGCCTTTGTAAATTGCCCAGGTTTCTTGCTCATCAAAGAGGCATGTGAAGGTGCCGCCACCACTTTTACACTGACAGTCGCAGCAACCATTGCAATTACAGTAAAATGCGCAAAACATTGTAATCTTCCAATACGCAGGTTCATAATGCAATGGTTAAGTTAATTCTTGCATTGTATCACTGTTATGGCATTTACAAGTTTCTGTAAGTCCCAAAAGGGATGGCAAAGGTGGGGGTGTGAGTAGTAAAATGCCATACACAAGTGCAGTCAGCTACTGGGGCACGGCCAACTAGTTCTCACTCTCAATAACTCTCCACTAATGCTACAGTCGCCAGCCGGGGCCATCCATCACCTCTGCAATACCCATCACCGTTTCTGACAGTGGTGTGATTTCTTCGATAGATGGGTCCGCAGTATACATCCGCATCCTAGTAGAAGGAAGCTTGTTGTATTTACCACTATACAGTGAGTAATCTTGGACCGTACAATGTTTACAGTTTTTGCGAGGAAACGTAAATCAGGTATAAAGTCAAGACAGCATGAGTTGCGGGTCTGGAGTTTCAAGTAGGCCCGGTAAAAAGAATAAAAAAAATAAATGTTTTCTTCCCTCACAACCATCCCGATAACCATGATTGGTGACCATACATTTTGATTAGATAGTTTAAGTTTTGTAGTGTCAATTTATTTAAAACTAAGTTCTCCGAGAGCAAATTATAATTGTAAGGAAGGCGTGTGTAGGAGTATGTGGAGGGGGATGTTTGTATGCTTTCGTGGGGGAGGGAGGGGGATAATGACAGACCGTGCACCAGTCTGCTCAGAGCCGTTTCAAAATAATTACTCTTGGCGATCCCGAAATTACAGGCCACCACAGGCTGTCAGGCCTGCCCGAGATGATTACACGCATATATATATATATATATATATATATATATATATATATATATATATATATATATATATATATATATATATGACCTATTTATCTACTAGCTATGACTAACTTTAATTACCTTTTCAGAAGTGAATATATTATTAAGATACAAATACTAACGTGACTGACATATGTATTCAGAATACGTTTAATGTAAACCACACCACAATAGTAAGTATCCCCCCCCGTATCACCGCCTGGCGGGCACCTCACCTTCTGCGATGCGCGTCCCTATGACTGCGTCCAGGTTCATCTGGGTGACGTGGCCGCTGAAATACCGAATAACCCGCAGACACGCCATCATCACCCGATCCAGGGTCTCCGTGTCAGGCTGAAGCAAGCCTTCTCTCTCAGTTTTAGGCACATCTTCCGCATCAGACCGATGTTGATCATCTGCAGGTTTCACAGGGACTCCTGCTGCAGAATCTTGCGCTATATTCGCGGGCGGCTTCAGCAGGTCAGCTCTTTTAGCCTGATACAATTCACCCTTGGAGGGTCTTAGCAAGATGTATCGGTCAATTTGAGGCAGGACCCTAATGACAGGCTCTTGCAATCTATCCGTGAGAGGCTTTAACAGACGAGCTCTCTCAGTCTCAAGAAAGCCTATCATTGCAGGTTGTTGCGGCACATCTAAGGTAGGCTTTATCAATGAATCCGCGTTGACATGTACACGACCTTCCGCCTCAGAGTGCGACAATCTGAGATCATCAAAAGTAAATGGAAACAGCTGCCTTGCAACGGTAAGACCCGATACTGTCTCAGACTTCTCCGAGAGCAACAACTCCGGGTACGAAGCTTCTACATGACGTGAAGCGATTTCGTGAAGTGGTGTAGTTATCAGTGGGCTGATGTGACCAGCGGCCACCAGAAGCAGAAGCGCCACGCACGACGATGCCATCACGCCCCCTGCCAACTGTGGTATCTCCTGGTAGCTGTTAAAAGTCAAATAACTTCTGAATACTAAAGTTATTAACCTCAGTTGTCGCGGCTGGTCTTAAGAGTCGTAGCGTAATAAGAGTGCAATGAATCTGAAGAATTGTAACGTTGTAATTCCGAACAGCTGATTTACTGTATTTTAATTTACAATCATTTTTACAGGAGACAAGATTTGAGGTTTATAATATATGATCGATATTGGCATCCACTAAGATGACCGAGGCAGTGTGGTAGCTGAAGACGAGTGCGTGAGCAACGAGTGGTGGGTGAAGAGCGACTGGACTGTTGCCCCCGTGCGTCCGTATTGTTCAGCCGCTGCACGCACTCTGATGTCTCTGAGACCTGAGTCGACTCGCTGAAACCTAGACCCCGGTGTCTTGAATATTTCTCCTTTTTTTCTCCTGTCTCTTGAGATATAATTTACCAAAGTATAAATACTGGAGTAAATTTCCTTAAAAAAAACATCTATAACATGGAATTCTTTTAATACTGCCACTTGACGGGGAACTATTTTACGGAGGGGTAACGAAAGTATGTTCCAAACTCGCGCATGTGCATATGTGACACATGGGAATCTATATCACGGAAGAAAAACATCCCGTGACATCGGCTCACCAGGAACTAGCCCTGCCCTCATCACCAAAGTGGTCTAAATTCGACGCTTGATGATCGGATCTCGTGACCCACCAGACTTGTTATACCTCATGTTGGTCAATACACTAATTCAACTAAAAACATGTTTTGTTTTTAGCTTAGAAATCTATTCTGTAGTTCCACTTGTTGAAAAAAAATACGCATTCGTTTTCTTTATCCTTTAAAGAATTTGTTTTATTGTGTTATACTTTATTCTCTGTGAGAAAGGACGGAAGCATTAAGTTAGACATACTGTAAATATGTAATTGATTATGCATGAAAACTCATATGCGTGACTGAGGGTTTGTATGTATATATGTACCTTTATTGTGTGTGCGTTTATGACTGCGTTGAGGTCTATGTGCGTGTTTGTGTGTGTGAACGCTTTTGCATACGTGTACTCTTGCGTTAGATTAAGGCAGCCCTACCCTCACGTCATTTCCTTATTAACATAATCCCCCTCGTGGGAGGAAGGGAGTAAGGTTGAAGGGAGAGTAAAGGGAGTGGAGGGAAGAGAGTAAGGAGATAGGAAGAGAGGCTGAGAAAGAGGAAGGAATAAAGGAAAACAGAGAGGCAGATAGATAAGGCAAGGAGATAGAGTGGCTATAAAGAAAGGTATGGGAGAAGAAGGAAGACGAAATGAATGAAGAAGAGAAAGAGGGAGGGATAGAAGGAAATTATATGAAAGTGGGAGGGAAGTATGACTGTCAAGATAAGAAGGTTACGAGGAGAATAAAGGAGGAGGAGGAAAATGGGAGGAGAGGAAGGCAAGAGAAACAAGGAAACGATAATTATAAAAGTGAAGAGAAAATGTTATTCGGGTGAGTGGGATATATATAGGTAGTACAGAAAACAGGAATATAAACATTAAATACTTGTACAATACTTATTTGTTTTATTTTTTACACCTCCACATTTCTGCTCATTCATACACAGTTTGAACCTGGCTATAATTACAGATCAAATTCACAACTGACAAAGCCTTCATATAGTTTGAACTTTGGATAGTTACAATTAAATTTAAAGCTTTGTATGTTAATTCTTTCCCTTAACTATAACTATAAAAGTTTAACAGAGATAGAAACCCCGGATCCTGGACTACATAATATCTCCATTGGATTTAGCAATGCAACGGAACATGTGCCTGTTGAGATTACTCTTCTGGGTAGAGGAGTAGTCACACTGGGGACACGAAAATGGCTTCTCTCCTGTGTGTTTTCTGATGTGTTTGAAGTAGTTGGTCCTGATGGTGGTGGTGTAGGGGCAGTAGATGCACGTGAGACCACGGTGTGGAGGAGTGTGCTGGGTGGTGAGAGGCAGCCACGTGTCCATGCCCACAGCAGTGCTGCTCATCTGGCGAGAGAGAACTCAGGTTGATTCCATTGTAACTTGTATTGTACATGACTCGGTATTGTAGGTTTTAGATACATTTCCTTTTTGTGTGTCTATTTAAAGGTGCTCTTAAGTTCTGGAAGAGGGTCATTTGGTTAAATTGTAGTGGATTTCTCCTCTACAAATGCTGTTTGTTGCTGCATAGCCGACCCCGCGAAATCCACAGTGTGTGCCTCGTGGTCTAGGTCAACCAGCGCCGCCCACGGAGCGGGGGTCAACTATCTACCCACGCCTACCTCCGCTATAAAAGACCTGACCTCGTGGAGATCTCTCTCTTTCTACCTACACCAACCAGCCAGCAACACCTACACCTCCTCCGCCGCTGCCTGGCGGTCCTCGCTCCCGCCGGCGAGCATGGCGACCCACAGCTGTCCTCCTCTGAGCATCCTCACCAATCAGCTCTCTCTACTCAACGCTTGCAACCAATCCATACCCCACAATATCAGTGTAAGAGCAGGTCAACTCCAATAGTGTGTAAATGACTATATATAAATGTTACTGCTGTGTCACTTACAGTATATGCTAGGACAACATTTTCATAATACCGTTTTGTATTTGTATCAACACTCATCAAATAAATTCCTCCCGCGTCTGTATTGGTTAACCACAGGGCAATGATGATGTGGCAACTCTTCGTGGATTAATACATGTTCTTTATGTTTAAAATTGAATCACAGTTACCGTCGGACTTTTAAGTTGTATACTGTCATATGTCTTCCATCTTAACTAAGTATACTGTGGCTTTTCTTTGTCAGTGTCAGATATTCTCAATTTCCGGGATATTTTGTTTCGGCTCTCAATCTTATTTCCTTCTCTTGTTATCTGCCAATAAAGTTCAGTATTGAAACATGGGTTTCCTGTATTGTTCTCTCAACAACGGACGGGGAGAGCGAGTTCCGGCTTGATGACAGGATATTGACATTCCTTTACCCCCTGTTTGCCTGAGGGCTCCACTACACAACATATTAATATTTTACAATATTACGTAGAATTCCTCCTCAGTACATCACACACCTCGCTGTCTCGCCACAAAATAATGGTCATCCGAGAATGCCTCCGGGGGACGTATCTATCATGTAGGTCATGTTACCTATGATATCTCAGTTTGGCATATAGTAGTGTCAGCTTTGTCTGTCAGTGTACTGTACAATATTGTTGCCGTCTACCACTCTTCAGTTTCTGTGAGGTATCGGATCACCCGAGGAAGATAATTACGGTAGTACTGTATTGATTTTTAGGTCAGTAGGTCAAGGTTATTTTCAAGCTTCAGGAAAGGCCAGATACATATTACTGTATGTACTGAGGCCTAAATATTATTGATATGGTTTGATTTATAAAAACAATTTCTATAAATAAAAAAACTAACCATGGTAAGTCTACATTATCAGAGGTTAATCTAGTGTAATTATTATGACAACTCGGCCCATTACAACTTATAGTGTTTTAATTTTATCATATTTCCAGACCTACGCTAAATATCAGCCATAGTCTTGATGATTAACCCTTTAATGGTGATGGTTTAATCCTTTAATGATGATTTCACCCATTGATGTTGGTTTAACCCTTTCAGATAATTATTTAACAAAGAAATTGATTGCTATTCAATTCTTTGAACAATGTGCATTGAACTTTTTGTTTAAACTGTACTGTAGAGGTTAAACCATCACCCTGTTGAATAGCCAAACTCAAAGGGTTAAACTTCTGCATCAAAGAATTTATAAAGACGTGGATGTAGTAGTTTCTAACCTGATTGTAAATATAACCTAAATAGTATCGCTAGTACAGTATGTGGGAGTACTGGGTAGGTAAGGTAAATGGCAATTGGGTTGGGATTCGACCAAACAAAAGTGGTACAATATGACAGGTACAGTAGTATTTATTAGGTATGTGACAGTCTTTGGTAACCCATGGTATTATAATGTAAATTGTCCCACTGTTGTAGAATAACTTTTTCTCTCTCTGTTGGGTTTACAAAATATTCTTTTAAATAAACAGTGTTCTTGCTAGACACTGTAATGTTTGGTGAAGTTGCATGGTACAGAACTTAAGCTATGGTGGTGATAATGACATTAGTGATGGTCATGGTAGTAGTGATGACCATTGTGGGTGGTGACAGTCATGGTGATGTCTGGTGTTTGTGTGGTGATGGCAGTACAGTAAAGGTGTAGTGTTGTCAACTAAAGGGGACAGTATTATAGGTAATGGCAATAGACAGACTGATGATGTAGATGGTGATGGCATTGGTGATGAAAGCTGTTGTTATCTTTAGAAAATATCAGAACTGGGGTCACATCACTTGTCCCTTCCTTTCCTTCCCTCCCTGCATATTGTTTCTGCAGTCAGTGCCTCTCCAACATAAACAAACAAAAATCTAAGTATTGTATTGAAGATGTGTGCCCGATACCCCCTCTTCCACCACCAATAACAAATGTGTTCTCAGACCTATGACTATCTTGATGGCAATAGGTCAGCTAGGAGGAGAATAAATACTGTAATCAAACCATCATACAATGTTTAGTTTCCTTTTATTATGTGTGAAGCAGCGTTGACTATTACAACTAACGATGATGCTCACGTGTTTGGTTATGAAAGAACCTGTTTAACTATCAGGTTCTGGTATATGAATGACAACACTCATCTCAAGGGTTACTGGCCGAGAGCTCTAAGAAATACCTAATGATAAATTGCTTGTCTTGGTTTATACAGTATATGCTGTTCTGTACCTCGTTAACCTGTTCATAGAGCAAAAAGTCTCCTTGGAAACTGTGAATTGAAAATAATTAAAGTTAATACAGTGTACAATACAGTACTTTTCCTGTATGAGATTTGTCTTTTGATGAAACAATAATATGTTTTACAGTCTATATGTAATTATATAGTTTTGTAATTCTCATGTTAATCTCATGAGAAGCACAACACTCGTCTCAGCACTGAAATGGTGTAGAGTGTCAACTGGGAAAGACATTAATTTTTTCTTTGAATTAGCTGTGATACAACAAGCATATTGCAGTCATGTATAAATTTAAAATTATTTCATCATCATAAAACACTGATGAGCTATTAGTTTTTAATAAAATCAAAGTTAATGCAAAATTTATGTGAACATTGAACAAAATCTCTCGTAAACTTTACATATTATTGTAATATGATATGATGATTAAGTATGCAATATAAATACAATAAGGAAAGGGATGAAACGGAATTAAATAAATATTGTATCCCTGACAATGAAAATTAATTTGAGACATAAAGAATGAAAATAATACTAATACAGCAGAAGGATGAGGATATATAATAATACTATG